GGGGTGGTAGGGGTCGGGTTCCGTAGTTAGGGGGCGGCGTGGCGAAAGGGAAGGGGGGGGGGCGGGGAGATTTTGCTGCCAAAAAGAGGGAGGGGGGGAGAGCGGGTTCGGACCCCCCCGCCTTTTGAAAGGGGGGGAAGGGGGGGCGGGGGGTTCCCCGACGACGGACCAGGAAAAGGGGGGAGGGGGGGGGTCCCGACGACGGACCGGGGGGGGAGGAGGGCGGGGGTCCCCGACGACGGATCGGGCAAGGGGGGGGGTCTCAACCCTCTCCCCCTTGGGGAGATCCAGCGGCGCGCCCTCCCGAACTGGGGCAGGTCACCATGCGGACGCAGCCACTGAGACCTTCGGTGGAGCTCCTCACGGGGACACGAAACGTTTGGGGGACACCATGCGGGCGCAGCCACTGAGGCCTTGGGCATTGCTTCCTACGGGGCTACGAAACGAGGTGTGCCGAAATAGAGTGGGTCACCATGCCGGCGCAGCCGCTGGGGCCTTCGGTGAAGCTCCCAAGAGGCCACGAAACGTGTGAGGGGTGCCGAAATGGGGCGGGACATCATGCGGACGCAGCCACTGGGGCACGAAACGTGAAGCCGTGTGCTGAAATATACAAACACTGCCATTGGGGCCTTCGGTGGAGCTTCCTAGGGGGCCACAAAACGCGTGAGGGGAGCCTTCGTGGAAGCTCCCGATGGGAGCACGATGGGAGGCCAGGGCAACGATGGGAGGAGGATACGGAGAGCAGAGGAGGAGGAGAAGGAGGAGGAGGACGAGGAGGAGAGCAGAGGAGGAGGAAGAGGAGAAGGAGGAGGAGGAGAAAGAGGCGGAGTGGAGAGCGAGGAGGAGGAGGAGGAGGAGGAGGAGGAGGAGGAGGAGGAGACGGAGACGGGCGGCGCTGCGGATCCAAAACGAAGAGCGAGAGAGAGCCCCCCCCCGAGGCCCTCGCCCGAGAGCGCGCAGGAGACACCCTGGAGCCTCGACCCTCGAGGCTCGAGGCTCGACCCCACCCCGGGGCCGGTTGGAGAGGCCCGCCGCCTCGCAGCCGAAGGGGGGTAGCGCCAGCCCCCGCGCCAGCGCCACGAAGGGCTGCACGTCCTGGGGGCGGCCACAAACAACGGCGCCCGCACCGCCACCGGCCGGGGGGACCTCTCCCGGGGCGCGCCCCGACTCGTCGTTTCGGCCTCGGCCTCCCTCGGTCTGCCTCCGGCCCGCCCCCTGTTGTGACGAGACGGCACCAGAACGAATACGGCCCACGAAGCCGCCAAGACACGGGTCAGGCCGACCCCTGACTCCAGGGCGCCCGAAGATGGAGGGGCCCTGGGACACACAAATAAGTAGACACAAAGAACAGGATTCCCCATATCTTCAAATAGCTTCTCGGTTTCTGTCTTCCCCCCCCTTCCCATATTTCCCTATAGTTTCCCATACTTTCTGGGGAATCGACGATTAACTGTGTCTGTGTTGTGTTCCCTCCTGCGAAGATAAAGCGTGCGCGCGGCCCGACCAGGACCCCAGGACGACACCGCCGCCGACGGGGCCACCGGCCAGACCTGTCGCTTGGGCCGCGCCCCGCGGCGACAAAGGGCCCCCAACTGGGGGAGGCTCGCAAAGGAGGCGAGAACGAGGGAAGGGCGCCTCGGGTCGGGCGACAAGCGGGGGGAGGGTGTCAAGGGGAGGAGGAGGAGGAGGAGGAGGAGGAGGAGGAGGAGGAGGAGAGGAGGAGGAGGAGAGGGGGGGAGGAGGAGAGGAGGAGAGGAGGATGAGGGGGCGGAGGAGGGGTGGGAGGAGGAGGAGGGGAGGAGGAGGAGGAGGAGGAGGAGGAGGAGGAGAGAGAGGAAGTAGGAGGAGGAGGAGGGGAGGAGGAGGAGGGGGGGGGGGAGGGGGAGGGGGAGGGGGAGGAGGAGGAGGAGGAGGAGGAGGGGAGGGAGGAGGGAGAGGAGGAGGAGGAGGAGGAGGAGGAGAAGGAGGGGGAGGAGGAGGAGGAGGAGAGGAGGAGGCAGGGAGGAGGAGGAGGAGGAGAGGGAGGACGTAGGAGAGAGGAGAGGGGGAGGGGGAGGGAGGGGGGGGGAGGAGAGGAGGGGAGGAGGAGGCGGAGAGAGGGGAGGAGGAGAGGAGGAGGAAGGAGGAGGAGGAGGAGAGGAGGAGGAAGGAGGGGAGGAGGAGGAGGAGGAGGAGGAGGAGGGGAGGAGGAGGAGGAGGGGGGAGGAGGAGGAGGAGGGAGGAGAGGAGGAGGAGGAGGAGGAGGAGGAGGAGGAGGAGGAGGAGGAGAGGAGGAGGAGGAGAGGAGGAGAGGAGGGGGGGGGAGGAGGGAGGAGGGTGGGGGGGAGGGGGAAGGGGGGGGAGGAGAGGAAGGAGGAGGAGATGAGGAGGGGGAGGAGGAGAGAGGAGGAGGAGGAGGAGGAGGGAGGGGAGAGGAGGAGAGAGGAGGAGGAGGAAGGAGGAGGAGGAGGGTAGGGAGTAGGAGGAGGAGGAGGAGGAGGAGGAGGGGGGGAGGAGGGAGGAGGAGGAGGAGGAGGGTGGGGGAGGAGGAGGAGGAGGAGGAGGGGGAAGGAGGTGGAGGAGGAGAGGAGGAGAGGAGGAGGAGGAGGAGGGGAGGAAGAGAGTAGAGGGGGGGGGCTGGTGAATCGGCTCACGCAGCTGGCTTCCCTGGCGCCTCCTGGAGCCGGAGGCGCCTGTAGGCATCGAGGCAGACACCCAGGAATGGGGCCGAAGCCGGCCGCATGCAGCAAATGTCGTGACCCCCCCGACTTCTGCGTACCCCCAGTCCGTCCGACCCGAGCCTCGGCATCGGAACCTGCTCGGCATCGGCCAGCGCTCCCCAACTACATAGGCACACTAGCTCCTCGGAAGCACACAGCCCTCCCGCTGCCTCCCAGCACGCGCCGCCGAGGCTGGCGCGACTGGTCCTGGCACCCCTCCTCTCCGGCCCCCGACGCCGCGCACCACACGCAACCCCTGCTCGCGGGTCAGCTACTTGCGTGTAGCCGACCACTGGTGCGGCGGCGGGGAGAGGCACCGGCAACTGGTCGTGCCGGCGCCGTGCTTCGCTCATAACGTAAGCTCCGGAGTCTTTTGTGTGACGGCCCCGGCAAGGGCCCCCAGTGGCCAAAAGTAACCAAAAACCTTCCATCGTGCGAGAGGAAGTCTGGGACGTCGTGCTTCGCTCACCGCGTGGACTGGGGTCTCTTTTGTGACGGCCCGGGCAAGAAGGGCCCCCGGTGGCCCAACATGTCCCCAAAAACCTTCCCGTCGTGCGCGAGGAAGTCTGGGACGTCGTCTCCCCCGCCCCCCGCGCGCGTCCCCGCGCGTGCCCCGCGTGACGAGCATCACGCGCTTCTGGCCCGACGGCGGGGCGGGGCGGCTGGCCTGGCGGCCGGCGGGCGCGGAGGGCCGTCGCCCTCGCCGCCGCCGCCGAGCAGCACGCGGGGATCGGAGGTCGGGGGGCCACGCTGAGGATCGGGGATCGAGGATCGGGGATCCAGTTTTAAGTCGGGCTTGTCCCTCTACGGGGGGAGTATTCAGAAATCGTCAAAAAATAGTCTGGGGACGATGTTTGGGGTATTCCTGCGCACTTGTGCGCTATGTCTTGGGGGCTATTTTTTATTGGTCGTCCAAAATCCCCCTGTAGGGGGACATGCCCGACCTGAATCTAGTTTCTGATTGGTTGAGAATATGTTTGGGCCCCTGTACAATGCAACTCAGCGGCCGCCGTGTTTTCCTCGATCTCACGCTGTGGCGCAGCTCCGCCGTAGCGATATACAGTGCTTGAGGTCGACGGCACAAACAGCTGTGGAGGGTCGGGGATCGAGGATCGTCGCCGTCGCAGCAGCTGCCAAGCGTCGGTCGGCGCTCGGGGCTGGAGGCCTCTCGGAGGGGGGCGCTTCTGGCCAAGTGGCGGGCCTCCAGCGGCGTCGCCGCCGCCGTCGTCGATCGGGGATTGGGGCTCGAGGCTCGCGGCTTCGGGGGGGGGCGCTTCTGGATCAACGACGGGCCTCCAGCGGCGTCGCCGCCGCCGTCGTCAATCGGGGATTGGGGCTCGAGGCTCGCGGCTTCCGGGGGGGGGCGCTTCTGGATCAACGACGGGCCTCCAGCGGCGTCGCCGCCGCCGTCGTCGATCGGGGATTGGGGCTCGAGGCGCGCGGCTTTTGGGTGGGCGCTTCTGGCCCCAAAGACGGGCCTCAGCAACGTCGCCGCCGCCGTCGTCGATCAGGGATCGGGGATCGAGGCTCGCGGCTTTTGGGGGGCGCTTCCGGCCCGATGACGGGCATCCACCGGCGGTCCCGGCCACGGGCTGAATCCGCCTCGAAACTCTGAGCCCACCCCGAGGCAGCTAGGCAGCGAGCATCGTTCTCCCCTGGATCGTCTTGCTGACTCTCTCCCCGTCCTCCCTCCCTCCTCCCTCCCTCCCTCTTCTATCCCTTTTCCCTCCCTCACTCCCGCCTCCTCCCTTCTCCTACCCCTCCTCCTCCTCCTCCTCCTCCTCCTCCTCCTCCTCCTCCTTGTCCGTGTCCTCCTCCTCCTCCTCCTCCTCCTCCTCCCCCTCCTCCTCCCCCTCCTCCTCTCCTCCTCCGCCTCCTCCTCCTCCTCATCATCATCATCATCGTCTCCCCCTCCTCTCCTCCTCCTCCTCCTCCTCACCTCCTCCTCCTCCCCCCCCCTTCTCCTCGCAACCTCCTCACCCTCCTCCTTTTACGTTAGACCGACCTGAGCGTGAACGCTGTGGCGAATTCCTCCTCCTCCTCCTCCCTCCTCCGTCGTCCGTCCTCCCTCATTCCTCTTCCCTCCTCCTCCTCCTCCCACCTCCTTTTCCTCCTCCTACTACGACTACGACTACTACTACGACTATTACGACTATTACGACTACGACGACGACGACGACGACGACGACGACGACGACGACGACGACGACGACGACGACGACGACGACGACGACGACGACGACGACGACGACGACGACGACGACGACGACGACGACGACGACGACGACGGACGACGACGAC